TTATACTGCTGCATGCTGTTAGTGTTGCTCTGCAATAACACTTCCGAAACGCTAGTTAGCAGTAGGTTTTTCTGTTTCTCTGTCTCAAGTTTCTTTGCAGGTGTTTTGTTTTTTCTCAAAGCTACCTTAATGTACAAGTGACACTAAAACTCACTCATTCAAAGGCAGGAACCTGCAAACATGCAATAACCTTAATCAGAAGGTAAACACAAAACAAAAGTTTTCATCTGGAGCTCCTTTACAAGACTCGACACTTGGAAACAATCCCTCCATCGGGCACGCGGCTCTCACCACCGCACACACCTGTCCCCGCTTCTAAGCCTGGCTGGTCAGCTTGCGCTATGTTTCATTGCGACATATAGTTACATTTTTTGAGAGGTGCATGTCAGTATCGGTGTCAGCCATGTAAAGGTACCAGCATAAATACACCTTCAGCAAAATATTGTTTAATTACCATTATTGTTAATAATTAAAGAAAAAAAAATACTGAGTCATATGTTTGTCAAAATTATTGCACAGCCTCAACAAAACGCATGCGTCAATACACTTGCAATTATCAAGTGTATTGATAATTATCTTGCAATTATCAAGAATCAATTATCAGGACAAAGAAAAATCCATCAGGTTTACAGAAGCTGTGAGAAGGTTACAGTGTTTTCCTCATCAAAAATTCATTTTTTTTTTTTTTTCTGAAAGGGCAGTAAAAGGGCAAGGGCAGTCCCTGGGTTTTTCAGCATCAACCAGTCGGTGATTACTATTCACCTCGCAGTCATGCTTTATTCAGACATCCTGAAGAAAAAGTGATCTATGTTTAGCAAAACTGACACTTTACAACATAAAAGTACCCCAAAACCTTCCACTAGAATTAATTTAATATACTTACTTAATATAAATAAAATCCATTGGTCTAATTTAGGATTGGGATATTTCCCAGTGATGGGTTGCAGCTGGAAAGGCATCCGCTGCGTAAAACATATGCTGGATAAGTTGGCAGTTCATTCCGCTGTGGCGACCTCAGAATAATAAAGGGACTAAGCTGAAAAGAAAATGAGTGAATGAATGAATGAATAAATGAATGAATGAATGAATGAAATTAGGACCAAACAATATATTGCTTCAGTATCGATATTGCAATGTGCAAATGTGCAATAATCACATCACAGGGTCTGTAATGTCAGTTTGGTTTTATAAAATGAAGTATATTCATCTTTTGTATTATGACACATACTGTGCAGTCATTAAAGTTGAACCTTAATAGAGTGAAAGTTTTTAATTTGCTTTGTTTTTACGGCCTATGACTATAAAATTTAAAGTGCACGATTTTAAGTATATAATGATTAATTGTATATACTGTTTTATACAATGAAAACTATGCAGTGTTATTTCTTTACATTTGATTATTGAATTTCTTTACCCAGATACTGTTAAACTTTCCAGAAAACTATAAAACAATGTCTGCTTCATCCTACAAAATCCTTCCAATCTATATAAAATCATTAATTCTTTTCAAAATTAGCTATTCAAGTAATCTTGTGAAATTATATTCATTTCGCAACATATATTGCAGATAAACAAAACTTTGCAATTTAATTTTTTTTCCAATATCGTGCATCTATACTCTAGTCTTATTATATCTCAATAATCTGTCTTTAGAGAGATGGCATTAAAAATTCATACTTTTATGATGAAAGCACTGCAATTTTATGCTGGGCAAAACAGTGCAGTGCAAAGCAGTAGGCAACACTGATTTACTGAACAAATGAATGCATCACATTTAATAAACATATTTTTGTATGGTTTTTCTAATGCTATAGTTAAAAATTTAACAAAGTTTTGTTCATTTTGATAATTTACAATGTGTCAAATATGATAAATAAGTTTTAGAGGGATATGATGTAAACATTTAAGTTTCTCTCTTTGTGTCTCTGGTTTGTTCTGTAGACTACTGTATATATATATAAATATATATATAAGTATATATATATAAATAAATAAGACTGCTTTTATTCAAGCCGAAATGAAACAAATAAGTCTTTCTCCAGACAAAAAAATATTATCAGACATCCTGTGAAAATTTCTTTGCTCTGCTAAACATCATTTGGGAAATATATAAAAAAAAAAAAAAATTCAAAGGGAAGCTAATAATTCTGACTTCTACTGCATAGTTGAATTATTAGCCCCCCTGAGTTATTAGCCTCCCCCCTGTTTATTTTTTCCCCGTTTTCTGTTTAATGGAGGGAAGATTTTTTCAACACATTTCTAACATATTAGTTTTAATAACTTATTTCTAATAACTGATTTATTTTATCTTTGCCATCATGACATTAAATAATATTTAACTAGATATTTTTCAAGACACTTCTACACCGTTTAAAGTGTCATTTAAAGACTTAACTAGGTTAAGTAGGCAGGTTGGGGTAATTAGGCAAGTTATTATTAAACAATGGTTTGTTCTGTAGACTATCGAAAAAAATATATAGATAAAAGGGGGTAATAATTTTGCCCTCAAAACGGGTTTTTAAAAATTAAAACTGCTTTATTCTAGCCGAAATAAAACAAATAATAAACTATAAATATATATATATATTTTTAACCATAATGTCATATTTTGTTATAAACCTATACAGACATTAGACTTATATTTCAACATATCATAATAATGAACATCCACAATACTGATATCGTGTTCACTTCAAAATACTGTGAATGATTATTAAATATATAAACTTTTAGAGTTCCTTTTAGGAAAATCCATATTGTTGTTTTTTCAGGGGTTGTTCTGCACAGCAACAAATTCTAGAAAAAATAATCTAGGCTACAACATTGAAACTCCTGTGATAACTTATAGGCCTTTTGTTCATTAACGTTATACATTATGAATCTATTTGTTAGCCGCAGTTAAATTAACCAAAGTCAATGTAATGACAACTACAAAAGCATTTACTAATCTTAGATGATGTTAACTTCTTAGCTAATGGCAAATAAAATGTTAAAATCCAAAAGTTGTAATAATTTTATTAAATGAAGTTAATAACTAACAAAATGAATTTGTATTCATCATCATTTTGCAATTTAAATAATTTAAAACATTTATTTACTTTGTGAACATGTATACAATAAATCAATAAGTTAGCTTCAGCAATTAATTACTAGATAGATAATTACATTTAGCACGTAAAGCATGATTTATTTTACTTTAATATGTGCTTCATTGTGTTTATTTATGACTATAGTTGGTTTATTATATTTATATTATATATTACATAATTTTTTTTCACTTCCCTATAAAATCATCCCAAACAAAGTTTTGACTTAGCGAATCAAGCGATTTGAGTCATCTGATGAAATTTTATTTATATCGCAATATATATATATATATTGTGGGAAAAAAAATATTCATTCATTCATTCATTTTCTTGTCGGCTAAGTCCCTTTATTAATCCAAGGTCGCCACAGCGGAATGAACTGCCAACTTATAAAGCAAGTTTTTATACGCAGCGGATGCCCGTCCAGCCACAACCCATCTTGGGAAACATCCACACCCACTCATACACTACGGACAACTTAGCCTACCCTATTCACCTTCACCTCGTCTTTGGACTGTGTGGGAAACCGGAGCACCTGGAGGAAACCCATGCGAACGCAGGGAGAACATACAAACTCCACACAGAAACACCAACTGAGCCGAGGCTCGAACCAGCAACCCAGTGACCTTCTTGCTGTGAGGCGACAGCACTACCTACTGCGCCACTGCTTCACCCGAAAAAAATATTGTAATGTTAATTTTTCCAATATCGTGCAGCCTAGATACATGCAAACGTGATATGAAAACTGTAATTCAGTCAAGACCTCTGGAACTCTAAAACTACTTTAGCCAACTGTAAAACAATTGCACACATTAACTCGCAACAAAAATGTAAAACAATTTTACACAATTGCACACATCATCAACTAATCATATAATAATTAAAAACCAACAGCAATGTAGTATTAGATACAGAATTATGTAGGCTAACTTTACATTGCTTTTTGACGTCTGTCAAAATGAGGTAAATGACAGCATTCACTTTCACTAAATGTTTAAATGAATCATTTAAGGAAACTATTCAGGGATTCATTTCACAACTCAAGTTTGAGGAAAGGTGGGGGTGGGCTATTTATGTCAGGTTGATTCCTTGGCATGATTATTTCTGTTTCTTTAAAACACCAGCGCTTTGTTCAGTCTCCTTATTATGTTACCACACAAATAAAAAAACGCATCTCTATATCAACCCAAGATGAACTACTTTTGTTTTGTTAAATGTAGAAATCCCGTGTTCTCGGATAAACTCACATGCATTTAGTACACATCAGTTAATTATCAGTCGATAATTACTCGGTTCAGACAAATCTTATGTAGGAGTCGGACGGTTTTAAATGAAGTAAAAAGCCACCATCCGTATGAAATATCGCTCACAGCTTTGCTTTGTTCTCTGCTGCGCATCACAGGGATGGGAAGTGAGTCTAATTACCTCAACTGTTACAGATGCTATGCGTTTATAATCTAGACGGTTTAGAAATTTGCAAGCTCATGAAAACCATAAACACATTAAAATAATGGCAATGTCGAGCATCCTTTTCACGTCCCAAAGCTGACAAAGAAACATGATGTTGGAGTCGTGCAAGCACAAAGGGATGCGAACAGTATTTCGTCTTTGAAGAGTGACATTAATGTCCAAGTCATATTTAATAACAACAATTAAAGTCAAATTGGAGGCGTAACGTTATGTGATTTGTGTGCACTGCAATGCACGAGCTATAACAATAGGGTCGGTAAAACGGGTTATATTGTTAAATATTTTGACATTAAATGCACGTACTGTAAAAGGTAAACACAGACATACATATATGCATACGTATACATACATGGCAATGCCAAAGTGACCACTCCAGAATTGATGTTTTGCCTGTAAATCAACGAAGACACTGGATGGAAATGTGCAAAAGGCCACGATACTCACGTATGGGCGCAGCTTGCGATGCTGACAGGTTTGTGGTAGACCTCCAGACAGATGGGACAGGAGAACTGGCTTTCCAGGCTTTCCCCAGGTGCGGCTGCTGCGGCTCCATTTTGCTGCTGATGCTGCCTGAGCTGAGCAGCGGACACAAAACTGCGGAACATCGCCATCATGCACACGAACCGCAGGACGAACCACTAATACCGCCGATACAAATAGATTTCCGTGGTTTTAACGAATGTCTCGCCGGGAAAAGGTGATTTATTCGACATTAGATTCCGCATCTGCAATCTCCAACAGTGTTAACCAAGGAGGACACGCCGTTGTTCCAAAGAAGTAAACATTACATGGTAGCTTTAACGGAACGGTCTCGATCGGATTAGGCGAGAAAAATTGTGGGAGTTGTAGTTTTAACAGGGATCATTTTCGTTTAGCTACTGTTTAAACGGACTACATTTCCCAAACATTGCATTTATAAGAATTACATAGAGCATAGATAGATGGCGTCAAAGTGAATTTAGAAAATGTAACAAATAAGGTCCAAAGCTTTTAATAAAAAAATATATACACATTTTTATATATTAAGAAATAAATCTAACGTTTATATATTTGTTTTTATTTATTTTAATGATAAATACTTTTTGCGATACGAGACGATGCATAAATGCAATAACATAAACAAAAAATATAAAATCTTTAAAAAGTGATGCGAGGGATGAACAGTTTCGTATCAATACAGAAAATGTATAATTTGTAGAAATAAACTTTTAGGAAAAGAGGGCGGTAGGGTGACAACAACAAAACGAGAAAGCCGAAACAGCCCAGCATGTTGGCTATTTCTCAGTTATATAGCACGGGTCTTCTTTTGGCCCTTTGTTGCATGACAAAATGTATATATAACCCGTAATAACACCTGAATGAAACAGTATTCATCAACTAAAGTATTAATGCCAGACACTGGGCTAATAACAAGCGACGCAAGCGTGTGGGCGTGGCTAACGTTACATTGCGTCATCAAAAGGAGTCAGGAAAACATAATTCAACTCACACGTGAAGTATGTGCTGTTTTAACGATTCTGTATAATAATGATTTCCTGAATCGACTTATCATTAAACGAACTGAATTTACGTCGTGTTGTTTTGTTTTCAATTAGTTTGTGAATTGGAAGCCGTCATGTGTCAAGTTGAAGAGGATTATAATGGTCTGGAATGTAACCAGGAGAAGATCCCTGTGTCGGGGTAAGTTTAAACAACTGCTCTTTGACAGGTTTAAGATATGATTTGGACAATATAGTGGTGATTTTTTTTTGAAGTGCCGATGTGACATCGTAAAATTTTATCAGTGGGATTTTCTACCGCAAATGTGCATTATCTGTCCCTGAAATTAAAACATAAATACAGTGAATAAAAAGTATTTCGTACCAAACTATTTTATAAAGGACTGATAGATGATTTCTGTGAGTAGGTTTGTAAAGAAACATGTCATTCATTTTATTCTCATATTGTTTTTCTTTATTAAAAACATTTTACAAATGTACAAACCCTGTAATGGTCCTTGTCCTCAGCCCAGTTGAACTTACAGCTTTAATAGTTTTGTTATGCATAACATACTTATTCTTTTGCTTAAATTAAGGTCAAAATGCTTAAATTATAAATAAGTTCTACAAATAAATACTACAAATATAGAATGTCAGTCCTGTCACATTTGCATTAAATTAAAAATATTTAATTGTGAAAGTGACATAATTTGATGGAGGAGAAGCTGACAGTGATCAAGGATGCGTTGTATCATTGAACTGCAAAATTTTATGCATGTTTTGTATGACTTTTTTGGGGGGGACGACAAGCTTAAAAATGATTTTTCTGTATGTTTGTCTTGCAACATAAAATATACTGCAGCTGTTTTGTTATGCATGCTATTAGCCTATCCGTAAACATACTATATTGCTGGATTCTAAAGTGAGAAACAAAAGAGATGTTCCTACAGTATAGCTAAAATCATTGCGGACACCAAAAAGGGGGAACTTCTGCCAATAGTTCTAACTATTATAAATAAATAAATAAATTTCTTCAGTCTGAAAGCCCCTGTTATTTTTGTTATAGGTTAGTAACTTTGTGCAGTTTATAGCAGTAATAAATGCAGCTATTATAGTGTAGTTGCTACAATAACCTGGGTGTATATATATATATATATATATATATATATATATATATATATATATATATATATATATATATATATATTTATTTATTTATTTATTTATTTATTTTACAGTTTATCTATTTTTTCTCTCTTTTTAAAAAAACTTTAGAAATAGCAAGTTTAAGTTTTTATCATTCACATCAATTGATTAAAAACATAATAATATACATAAAAATATAAATAGGTCCTACAAAAAGATATATAATGTCAGTCCTGTCACAATTGCATTAAATTTAACAGAAAATGTTTGGAAGTGACATAATTTGATATAGGAGAAGCTGACATGACAAGGATGCCTTCTTTTGATGCCATGAATTTATTCATGTTTTGTATGATTTTTTTGAAGACGACAACAAGCTTAAAGGTAAGGATGGCTGAAGTGATCCCGAAGCGCAAGTGTTTCGAAACACTGCACCGAAGCATGATCCGAAGCACCCAAGTCACGTGACTAAAGTGTTTCGAAACACCTGGTCACGTGACTAAAGCGATTCAAAGCATGGATCAGCTTAAAAGCGTTTCGAGAGCTGGCGAATCTTCATTTGGCTGCCAAGGTCAAGGATAATCTTGTTTCATATGGCCTAGTGGACTGTGCGTGTGTACGCTGATACCGTGCTTCGAATGACGTTTTTGGTTCGAATCCCGATTTGTATAAATACTCTGAAATCATGGTTTCATGTATTTTAATCATGTTTCTGTTTTGTGTAGCCTAAATAGGATACAGCTGCAGTTACGCCATCAATTTAGCATCATTTTTGTAACACTGTAAAACTATAATTAATAATTTTACAGTACTGTGATAGTTGGGTTTAGGGTTTGGGTAGACATTAATAAAATACAATAAATGGGAAATTTAATGAATAATATAAATAATTATTGATAACTTCAGGCCACAGTTTCTGATCTACCAACAACCCTGTTTTAAGACCAAAACAAGACATATTTATTCACAAATTGTTTATTCGGATATCAGACCAATGTTGAAACCAAATGATACAAGAGCAAAGCATTACCAACTGGTATTAAAGCATTTCAAAACATCAATATCAGCCTGGATTCGAATCCACTATCCCCGCATAGTAGTCAAATACCTTAACCACTCCACTATATTACCTGAAGATTCAAGCATACAAAGTGGGGTTTAATGCCTCAATTTGCTCAACTGTTCTTTGCTGAAGCTGTTTCAGTGCAATACATGAAAGAATTACCACTAGTTGTCACTGTAGAGTGGGGTTTCGAAACGTTTCGAAGCTTCGACACATTTGGTTCGACTGTTTCAGTGTTTCACGAAGCCTCGCTTTGCCCACCACTACTTAAAGGTCTGGCCCTATCACATATTTTTTTTAGTAAATGAAAATGTAAATTTCTGTTATAATGTGCTTGTTGTTCAGTAATACAATATTTATATGGACAGTGTATATCCATATTCATGTACTAAAAATAATTTTTTATATCATTAACAAAATAGCCCAATCCCCTGGACACAAACTCTCTTTTTTGTTTGACCCCTTTTTCCAGACTTAACAGAAAGTGTATGAAATGTAAGGAGGGAACTGCTGTGCTCATCATTCGTGTCAGTGATGCATTTTGCAGGTAATACTCTATTCATTTTCCTTCTCAATCTGTCACTTATACTTTATGTGATACATGTGCAGTGTTGTCAAAATCAGCATTTATCTGTTCAATAGGTCCTGCTTCAAGGAGTACTTTATACACAAATTCCGGGCGATGCTGGGAAAGAATCGTGTCATATTCCCCCAGGAGAAGGTACTTTTACAATTGTGAATATGAAGATAGTATGTGTTTTGAGAATTTAGATTTAAAGGAATTTAAATAAAGATTCCCACAGTCATGGTAAAAATTTAAAGCATTTAATCCTAATCAGTTGTTAAATATTTGACATATCAGATTTGGATTGTTTGGAGCCATCCGTAATAGCACACATACAATGCTGAGACCTCTACAATATGTCGTTAAGATGTTTATGTGTGTAATATTTAGTATATTTTTTGAAGAGATTAGTAAGTGTGTGCGCGCGTGCTAACTGGTATAGTGGTATTCTTGTTATATTCCAATAATGGAACAAATCACACAGTTATACGATTAAACAATAGCAATAGAAATGCAATAAAAAGCATATATAAATATATATATATATATATATATATATATATATATATATAAGTGTATTGGAGCTGCACAATACGTCATATAGTTTATCCTATATATATATTAGTGCTGTCAATCGATTAAAAAAAATTAACTAATTAATCGCACCTTTCGCGATTAATCGCATTTAAAATACTGAAACTTGTAATTTTGGCTATTTCAATGTAAAATTAATGTAAACGCAAGACAAAAGATATTTTAATTTAAAATATAATTGTTTAATAGAATTTTTGTTTAACTTGTAACACAGATTTTTTCATGTAAACAACATACCCACAATAAACCATCAAGATCCTGGCTTGACAGCCATATTTATTACAGAAATTAAAACACAGGCATGTTAATGACATTTAAATTTCAAAACAATCAATGCCAATAAAGAAAACATTGATTTCCATGTTGGATTCTAAGTGGACTGCAAAAAAATGCCAAAATACAGGAATTGCAGATATGGAAAATGAAAAATTATAATAATAAACTATAGAATACAAACTGTTGCACTCATTGTAAAGTTTTATTGCTGTGAGTTGAGAACATTAGTTATAGAGTAGAAACAATTTTGCTTAATCCTCCTTTACATTCATCCAGTTGCTAAGACTAGGAGTATCCCGCAAGTGCACAGAGACTCCCAAATGCCCGCAAATGAATGATAATTTCTTGCAAACCAGTCGTTAAATACATTGCACACCCCTCTCGCCCCTACTCAGATACGTCGCTCACTCCACCCTTGACACCACTCAACGGACCTGACACAGACAGACACGCACAACGCGCTGCAGACATTTTGGCCCCAACGGCCTTCCATACTGGAGTGACTCCCCTCAGATTCAACACGCATGATCACGTTCATCAAATTTGCTTAAACTAAGCGTCCTAAAGTATTACCGTATTTCGCAAGGATTCAGACACAACAATGCGAAGCATACGCTTTCATTGCGTTTAATGAGGAAACACGCTAAACTTGGAAGGCTTATGCTGATAGGCAGAGTAATGCCCTGTCTTTGACAGCTCGCGACTTCACCAGACGTTCTGATTACATTTACATAAGACACCAATACTCAGATTTTAATATGATTAAGATAATACTCCTATTAAAAATTCTACCGTATAGCCTTAAAAGGAACCTTACCTTAAAGGAACACAGAGTCACGAAATGCGGAGGATTTTCTTTCTGTTCGCCATGCGGTATCAACTTACAACAGAAGTCGAAAGATAAAAATGAAACACCCGAAATTGCATGAAACTCTGGATAACCTGTGATGCAACTAATTGTTTTATACTGGAACTTGCCTTTAAAAAGTGCTGCTTTGGTCTTATCCACATTTATTGCATGTTGAACACACGTCCACCACAACAGGAAGTAAAAAAAAACTGCCACTGCGTTAATTGCGTAAAATTTTTTTTAACGCGTTAATTATTTTAAATTAATCGCATGCGTTAACGCGTTATTTTGACAGCGCTAATATATATATATATATATATATATATCCTTTGCTTGTGTTTTTAACTAATTCAAGCGTGTTCAAACTATCTGGGAACAAGAAATTATAACCATTGTAGCTCTAATCAATATTCATTTTAAATTATCTTTTTGTAATTTTATAACTTTGTTTTATGCAGATGCACTTCTCTACAAACCTTTTTAGTTGAATTTGTATCAATTATCTGACTGTTTCTCTTAGGTCCTTCTTGCTGTTTCTGGTGGAGCAGCTTCCTGCACAATGCTTTCACAAGTTCAAGAGGTAAACATTATGTCTTACATCAGGAATAAATGGCAACTGGCCATTGAATTGTTACAAAAAATAATGAGGTGATGATGCCGTGAAGCAGTGTGACTGTTACACATAGTTGTGCATTATTTTCTAATAATTCAATGGATTGGAGTCAATTGTTCCACTTATACTACAATTACCACATCTAAAGACAATATTTAGAAATTGTATGTAAAAACATAGAGTGGCGCAGTAGGTAATGCTGTCGCCTTACAGCAAGAAGGTCGCTGGTTCGAGCCTCGGTTGGATCAGTTGGTGTTTGTGTGGAGTTTGCATGTTCTCCCTGCATTCGTGTGGGTTTCCTCCGGGTGCTCCTGTTTCCCCCCACTTTGGAAGTCAGTGGTTACCAGTTTTATTATTATTTTTTAAATATAAATTTTTTTTTGCTAAATAGAAGAATGAAACACAAACAGGTTTGTTTTAATAGAGTAAATTAGTGGTATAAATTTCGGTTTTGGTTGAACTGTCTTTGATTAGTAATGAAACAGGACAAAAACTAGTTTCTGCACATGTGCATGTTTCCTTGTGTGTGTCTGTACTATAGGCATGTGCATTTGTATGGGAGAGAGGGGGATAGAGGGGTAATAAAGAGTCGTTTCAAGAAAGAAACATGTTTGCATGGAGATAGTTAATCATTTCATATTCTATAGTTTTTTTTTTACATTTGCCTAGTCAGTGTTTTTGTAATTATGTTGCTATTGTAGGCTGTATGGACTGTATGGAGTAATTTATTATGGAACTGTAATAAGGTTAAATTCTGTCTGAAAGACTTTAGCTGTTCATTTCCCTGAATGTAATTGCAAGTCTCTGAATATTCATCAGCCAATCTGGAAAAACATTCAGACTTCATATAATATTGTTTTTTGATTGAGTAATATCACAAAATCTGAAACGAATTTTGTCCATACTGCAACTAGGATAATAAATACACAGAGCAGCATTTTCTGATTTCCCCCCTAGCTGTATCATTAACATAGTTATTTTCTTCTTTTATTAAAGTGCTGCTGTTTTGATACAATATGTTGCATAAATTTCTGTTAGTAAATGTGATTTCATGCTTTTGTTTTTCAGGGTCTGAGTCGAGATGCTCCCAAAAAGCTAAGATTTATGCCTGGAATTGTATACATTGATGGTAAATCTCTTTTACTTCAACGAACAGGATATTGTTTTTGTATTTTGAGCTTATGGTTGGCATCGAATGGTTGGTGATATTTTAAAAAGGATTTGATGATGTTATTTGTTAGATGGTGGAGCTTGTGGGCGAAGTGAAGACGAGCGGCAGACTTCAATATCTCAGCTGAAAAACATCTTCACACAGACTGGCTTCCCCTACTTTATAGTTCCTTTAGAGAAGGTAAACAG